ACATTCACATTTTTGTGCAATTGTATGATTTGTTTTTGACCCATACATTATTTAGAAATGTTTTTAGGGGGAGGGATAAATTAGGAGCATGGTGTTAACAGATACAAACTACTATATATAAAACAGATAAGTGACAAGGATTTCCTGTATAGCACAGGGAACTATATTCAATACCTTGTAATAACCTGTAATGGAATACAATCTGGAAAAAAATGTGTGTGTATGTGTGTGTGTGTGTATATATATATATATCTGAATTACTTTGCTGTACACCTGAAACTAACACAATATTGTAAATCAACTACAATTAAAAAATTTTTTTTTAATTTCAAAACTGGAGATTTAAAAAAGTAATTTATTTTTGTTGTTGTATCTAGCTTAATTACATGATAGTCAGAGAATACATTCTATATGATTTCAATTTTGTAAATGTATTAAGATTTGCTTTATGACCTTGCTTGGATAAGTAGATTTCTGTAAATGTTCCACATGTGCTTGACAAAATAGTATATTCTGCAGTTGTTGGGTGCAGTGTTCTGTATATACCCATTGGGTCAGATGTGTTAATTCTGTTGTTCAAATAGTTTAAAAAGTCAATCTGTTCAGTCAGACTTTCTGTGATGAGGGGCGGGTTCTCTGTCTGCAGCATCCAGCGTGGCAGCCATGAGCCACACGTGGGAATCGAGCACTTGAACTCTGATTGGTGTAACTGAGGAGCTGAATATTTATTTTTACTTAATTTTAATTAATTTAAACATATTTAATAGCCACATGTGGTTAATGGCTTTTGTATTGCACAGCATAGTCCTAAATCAAGACTGAGCTTATTTTTCAGTTACTGAGAAAGGGGGTATTAGAATTTTTCACAGTAACTGGTGGTGACACTGTTTTGTCTGTCTGGAAATGTCTTTATTTAAAACTTTGAATAGGATTTTGAAACATATACGTGTATACACTTATCTTGTACCATGCAGTATTTCAAGAGTTTTTTTTGTTTTTGTTTTTTTTTTTTTTTTGCAATAAGCGGGCCTCTCACTGTTGTGGCCTCTCCCGTTGCGGAGCACAGGCTCCGGATGCGCAGGCTTAGCGGCCATGGCTCACGGGCCCAGCCACTCCGCGGCATGTGGGATCTTCCCAGACCTGGGCACGAACCCGTGTCCCCTGCATCGGCAGGCGGACACTCAAGCACTGTGCCACCAGGGAAGCCCTCAAGAGTTTTATAAATATTAATTGTATAGTTATAAGTTCCGTCTCTTCTGTGTTTCCCATCTTTTGTCTCCCGCTACAGATATCTTTGAGCTTGTTTTTTCTTTAAGTACAGAGCGTGAACACGGTTGTTTTATGGTCAGTGATCATCCCATTATCCCAAGTCTCTCACTGCTGCTGGGCCTTCCTTCCTGTCTTGTCTCTTGTGTGCCGGGTCATTGTCCCAGGACACTCATCGTTGTGTCTGGAATATTACCTGTAGGAATAATCTGAGGTCTGGGCTCTCTGGAGAGGATTTTAGTTTCTCGCGTTGGCTGCTTGTGGACCCTGCTGTTTTTAGTGTCAGCCCTTTTAGTGCTCCGTGGTGAGGAGAGTTGGTCCATTACCTGCATTGGGGTCTCCCCACTCTTCACTCTGCAGCGTGCTGTGACCTGCTTCCCCCACTCCCCCACCATGCTCCCCTGCATCCCCCGTGAGACAGCCTGGCTACCCAGTGCTGAGTCTTTCTTTAAAAAAAAAACCAAAAACTGAATACTTTATGTTTAATTGTGGTAAAACACACCTAACATAAAAGTTACCATCCTATTTTTTTGTTGTTGAGGTATAGTTGATTCACAATATTATATGTTTCAGGTGTACAACATAGTGATTCACAGTTTTAAAGGTTACGCTCCGTCTGTAATTGTTACAGAGTGTCGGCTGTATTCCCTGTGCCGTGCAGTACACCCTTGCAGCTATTCACTTTGTACGCAGTAGCTGGTGCGTCGTAAGCCCCTGCCCCTAGAATACCCGGTCTCTTTTCTTCTGCATCCTCCTGCCCTCTCTGTAGTGTTTGGCCCTGTTGACTGCTCTCTCCTTTTCCTTTTTTTTTTTTTTTTT